ACTCCAGTAATTGCAAGGGGCCCAGAATCCCCTCATTGGACCAAACTTCTAGAATGATGAGTCTCTCTATATACACATATATATGTATACGTATATGTATACATATATGTGTATGTATATGTATACATATGTGTGTATGTGTGTTTACACATATGTATATATATGTGTGTATATATATAGTGACATTACAAAAACAGTGCTTGCTTATTGTATTATTTGGAAGTCAGCACTACTCCTCCAGTCAGAAACATATTCACAAACTCCTTTCTTCTCTTGGTTTTCAAAAGTGGGTGCCTGTTGGTTTGAATTCTTTTCCCAGGCCTTTCCTGTATCACTGACTGTCCTCCCCAGGCCTCATTTTTGGTGGCTTGGGTCTAGTCCACATAAGGGCACTACAAGCTGTTTCTCCTATGCCGTAGCTGATTCTTACCAGGCTACCTTCTGTCTGTGCAGAGGTCCCTCCTTCAGCCGGGCCACCTGTCCTGTCAGGCACATGTCTGTCCATGGATGGCCATCATCATAGAAATGAGGAAAGCTGGCATGATGGGTGCCGGGAATGCTACTGCCACAACGGAAGGGAAATGTGTGCCCTCATCACCTGCCCGGTGCCTGCCTGTGCCAACCCCACCATTCGTCCTGGACAGTGCTGCCCGTCCTGCACAGGTAAAAGCTGGCTGCCAGCTTGTCGTGCACCACCACCTCCAGCCTTGTGGGGCCCTGTACCCACCTGTGACTCTGCGGAAAGAGTGGGGTCTGTCCTCGGGACACCTTCTCAGCTATCTGTGGCTTCTGTGATTAATAGCCACAGAGTGAACTGGATACTGTGAATAATTAGCCCCAAACCAAAGAAAATCCTAAAGCTCTGGAAATGGTTCTCCATATTTTGGAATGGTTTACTCAGTTATATTGCTCTTTGGACTAGCTTTTTTTTTTTCCTGCAGAGGTCTGTAGACTTACATTTGTAAATCTAACCCTCCAGTTCACTGCTAGTATATTGGGGCCGAAGACTTTAGCCCTAGTTAATTGGATGGGATTGGTGAGATTTTTACTTCATAAAAGCATATAACTTACCAAGTAATAGTGGAGGGAAGAATTACTGAAATCTGTGGCTGATGTTCTGTCTTCAAGAGATGGATGTGTGGCATTCTTGCCAAATGGAGACATTTGGAATGGTCAAAATTCAAAACGGTCTAGTCTTAATAATAATAATCAAGGTGAGTTGCTAGAAGAATAGAAGAGGGGAAATAATCTATGCTGGCCAGGCTGCACCTGCCTTACTTCCTGGCACACAAAGATCCTCTCAGCTATAAGATTCTGTCTTTCTCAGCAGTTACCAAATTGGTGACACCCGTACCTTTGCACAGGGAACGTAAGTGCAAAAGAAGAGTCTTGTTTCCCCTGGTGCAGTTAGATGTGTTCTCTGCCAGCTCTTTCCTTGATCACATATTTTGCAAGAAAACTGAGCAACCACCATGTCCACCAGATCAGAAGCAGCTTGACGAGATAGGAGTGTGTCTGCGCCAACTCTCCGAGTGAGAGAAACATCATTTGTTCCCTCCAGATATTCTTTATTAGAGGCTTGTGTGACTGGGAACCTGCACCTGGCTCTCTGTCAGCTACTGCTCAGCAAAGATGTCTGAGATAGACAGGTGGAAATAGAGAGAGATGGATCAAAACAGAACAGCAGTGCAGAGTGGGACCAGAAGTATCTTTCTCTAGTTCAGAGATGTAGCCTATTCTAAACCACATAGTTACTGACATATTGTTGGGGCTGAGAAAAGCTCCGTTGGTGAAACACTTGTAGCAAGAAGGCCCAAGTTTGATCTTCAGTGCCTAAATTAATTAGGTAGGTAGGTAGGTAGACAGACAGACAGACAGACAGACAGATGGAAACCAGGCAGTGGCTTTAATCAAACTGATCTCTGAGTTTTGAGGCCAGCCTGGTCTACAGAAGGAGGAGGGAGTTCCAGGACCAGCTCCAAAGCTACACAGAGAAACCCTGTCTCAAAAACAAACAAAACCAAAAAAAAAAAAAAAAAAAAAAAACCAGGGATGGTGGCCCAGACTGTAATTCCAATACTTGTTGGGGAGAGGGAGTGAAATGGGCCTGAGACTTACAGGCCAGCTAATCTAACCAAGTCTGTGAACTCCAGGTTCAGTGGAAGACCATTCAACATGGTAGATAGATAGATAGATAGATAGATAGATAGATAGATAGATAGTAGATAGATAGATATGGATGGATAGGTAGATTAGATAGATAGATAGATAGATAGATAGATAGATAGATAGATAGATAGATGACAGACAGACAGAAAGATGGGTAGAGAGCTATTGAGACAGACACTAGACATAGACCTTTGACCTACACACACACACATGCACTCACTGGCTTTCTGAATGTACATACATATACAGAAAAAAAACTTTCCTTTGCAGGCATGTGTAGAGTTATGTTTTTTTTTTTTTTGAGAATCTTTAGTGGTTTGCTGTATGTGGTCTCTTCTGACTGGAAGCCCTAAAGGTCTGCCATCCTCGTGGGCTCCTTCCTACCTCAAAGAGCAGTCGCTTCTTCTCCCGTGCAGAGCTGGTGGTCCCTGGGAGGAAGGAAGAGTTTATGATCACCAATTAGCACTGTCTCTTACGTTAGTCCACACCCTCTACTCATCCTTTACCTTTTCCTCACCATCCCTCAGCCACTGTGTTTTGCTTTAAAGCAGGAACACAATAGAGCAATGAGATTAGGGAGGTAAAAACCCCTGTACACAGGTCTCCTCATGACGCCCCTGCTTATCAGCTTTTCAGAGTGTGTCGGTTGTCTGTCCTCTGAATGTCCTTTCTGAATGCCATCAGAAAATCTTTGCCAATATTGGTTTTCATTGTGACATTCTCTCTCTCTCTCTCTCTCTCTCTCTCTCTCTCTCTCTCTCTCTCTCTGCCACTGGAAATGCTCTCCGAGTGTCTTGTTCCCACCTCCGCTTTCATTTCCACTGCTTATATCCTGGGATTCTACTTTAGCCGTCGGTTTTCTGGAGTGTCTGCTTAGGCAAAGTCCCAGGCTTTCCTGGTTCCCATGAGATAAAGCTGTCCTGAAAGTCAGCCCATGCCATTGTATTCCATCAGTGTTATTGCCTCACACACTGCTTTGTAAGGGACAGCCCTGTGCTTGGACTCTTGACCATTTCTACATAGACAGGGTGGTTCCCCTCAACCCTCAGCATCCGCTGAGCTCCAGGCCTAAGCCAGCGGTGATGTCTCTAGATCGTTTCTCAGCAGGGTACACCTCTGTCAACACCTCCTTGATGTCCTTGTTGTGCTTGGACTCCGGGAATTTGGTTAGTGCCGTCTTACTTCCCAGCACCCCATCAAGGGAACTCCCAGTACCTCTGTAGCCATTGTAACATTAAAGGCTCTCCATCGTTATCAGCTTTCAAAGGGACCAAATCCACATCCACTCTGGGGAAAGAAATCACAGTCATCAGCCTCCGGGCATGTCTCTGGTTGATGATGGCACTGTCCACCAAATGTTTAGTCTCAGGTGAAGGGTTTCAGACTGTTGATTCTGTAGATACATTCCTGCTTGGGGTCCTGGCAGCTGGCTGAGGTGAGGTGTGGCTCCTTGACAGTGGGCCGTATTTCCAAGCATAAAAGTGTTGAGAATCCCAAGATAATAAAGTAGACAGGACATCCATCATTTGGAAGTTTTGTTTAATCTAAAGGCATATCCGTTTTCCAAATAACCATTGACTTCGGTCCCAGCCCCTTGACTGTGCTTAATGCTTCGAACTGGTAGCTTTCAAAATATGTAAAATAGAATAATAGTGCCTCGCTCACAAGGCCATTGAAAGGAAGAAAAGAAATACAGAAGTGAGAAGTGCCCAGCCTGGAGATAATTGGACCATAGCAAGCATTCAGTAAATGAACGATCTCAATTCTAGACGACTCCTGCATACCCCGGGATGCTCCAGCGAGTTAACCTCCCTGTAATTTCATTCTTATTGAATTCTCTCAGGACTATCGACAGACTCAGCCACTCGAACCTCCCTTCCTGAGATTAGCTCTTTGTCTTCCGTTTCTAGGCATGGAATTTGTTCTTTCCTTTTCTATTCCTCGGATAAGAATAGGGGTGAGTTCTCTCGCTCCTTGGGCCCTTCGGCTTCTCTCTCCCTTAAAGCAAACACCACCCATTTCGTCGACGGTTACAGAAGCTGCGGGTGAATAATTTCTCGTGTTTTGGTTCTGTGTCATTCCTCAGATGACTTTGTGGTGCAGAAGCCAGAGCTCAGCACTCCCTCCATTTGCCACGCACCCGGAGGAGAGTATTTCGTGGAAGGGGAGACATGGAACATCGACTCCTGCACGCAGTGCACCTGCCATAGTGGCCGGGTGCTGTGTGAGACCGAGGTGTGCCCACCACTGCTCTGCCAGAGCCCCTCACGCACCCAGGACTCCTGCTGCCCCCAGTGTACAGGTAACCAGCATGGTGGCATGGCACAGGCTTGGTGGGAAGGATGCCGCTTTGTTTGATGGTTCTGTAGACATCAGGATGGGCTCTGTGCCAAAGCCAGGAACCTGTGCCGGATCCTCTTGGCTGCCTGCTTCCCCAGTCCATTGCCCTCTGTCACCCACACACTACAGTCAGTATGCCTGGCACCTGAGTTGACTTCGAAGGAGAAAGACTGGCTTTTCCCTTTCTCCTCTAGCCTTACACTTCACACTGACGATGTGCATAGAGTACAGGCAGCCCCTCTGTGCCAAGTTATGTCTGATGACCTTGCTCATATCAAAAGTCACCTCACATTGTTTCTAACAAACGCGAAAACTAGTTACTGGTGAATAATATAAATACAACTCCTTGAAATTATAGAGGTTGTAAACATTCTTTGAAAATATGCCCATGCCCTTCCAAAACTGTGATTAATGGGCTAAGACCAGGAGTGTTGAGTGGGTGTCCCTGTGTGTGCATGGGGGGGGGTTTCCTGTGTTCTTCCTGTGATTGCTCAGGCCGTAGCAGGTAAATTTCAAGTCATAAAAGAAATATGTTATATTGTAAACTTGCTGAGATATTAAATGTGTGCTACACTACTGGTTTTATACCTAAAATAGTAACTCTGTCAACACTAGGATAAATGACTTTTAGAAAACAATTTTAATTCAACACGTAAAATTGCCAAAGCAGCTGGTTTTATTTGGTTGTGTTTAATCTTCCCAGTTTTTCAACTAAAACCATAACCACTTTCCTTCTCTGTATACAGTCAGTGAATTTTTGCTCGGTGGAACGTAAACTTTCATGTTTTATTACTTCCCTTTTTACATTGATGATCTACTTAGCTGTCTGGGATCTTGTGCTGTCTGTCTGTCCATCATACTCAGTAACTAAATTTCAGCCAAAGTTGATCTTGGGACAGATCTATTTGTGTAAGTAGCAACTATGTTCAGCAGAGAGGCCTAGTGTAAAATCTTGTCTACCATAAGTAGTCCATTTGTATTCTATCTTTAGACTCTGTGTGGCCTGTTCCAGCCATGTTTTTGTCATGATCAACATGTTATATGGAGGCAAGCCCTGCTGGTGTTTGTCTGTTAAGGAAGACCTATGACTGTTCCCATCCTCCTGATGGGAAATACTTAGTGTCAGTGAGCTTCTATCCATTTTTGCAGGCATTTCCGGAATGCCTGAACTCAGCCCTGGGGATCCTGAGAATAATGAAAACAAAATAACTTCTATCCTGGGGAGCATTGGTCAAAGAAAAAAAAAAAGAGTAAAACATGCCAGTGTGGTTCTACGCTAAGAAAGTGATGGTGCACAGAGAGGAACGGTGAGAGGGGGTGCTTGAGCTCCAGAAGACGTGAGGAAAGGAAGAAGTGCCCTGTGCTCTCGGGGCTAGGGGCCGAGTGACTAGGAGAGGTTCAGAGGGAGATACTTCTCTGTGACCGCCAGCCCAGGTTCTTGGATGAAACACCTGGCTGCACTTAGAGCTGAGCCCAGGAAGAGGTGATGGACAAGGCCCAGGTCAGGCTTAGGCCCAGCTTCACAGTAAGAGTCTGCATTGCAGAGGTTCCTCGGGTTCCTGGCAAGGCAGCTGTGGCTTTCTGCTTTTCGCTCTCTGGGGCTGAGTGACACTCCATCTTATGCCTAGCTTTTTCTTCTCATTTGTAAACTTGGGCCAAGGTGACTAATATTTTTTCCATATATTGATAACTCAGTGGTAACTCTCATCTTAAACTTTGGAGGGGTGTGTGTGTGTATTCCAAAAGTTACTTTTGGATATCTGAATGAGACCCAAGCTAGACTAAACAGTATTTAAATGAACTGCAGATCCCATAATGAATCTTTTTAGACTATTTGTAACCAGACTGTAGCAATGAGGATTTTTTTTAAGTCAGACTCATACTGCCTTGGCTTCTCAAATGCTGGAATTATACATACGAGCCACCATGTCTGCTTCACTGCCATTATCCTAAAACTTAAAATGTCAGTGTCTTTTACATCACAGTAAATTTGAAGAGTAGCATTGGTAAGTGCTTTATTACACATCTGGAAAAAGACCAGCCTTAGGTGACCACATGCTAAAATGGTCTAAGAATGATGTGGACCCGTCCACAAGACATGTGTCTGTGTGGTGGCACTTCTGTGGGACATCTCCCCATTCTGCCTTACCTGTGACCTGCCTCACCTCCTGTGCCTTACCTGTGGCCGCCTCCATAGAAGTGGGCCCTGGACAAAGAGTAGGATACCAGGGTGATACTCCCCTGAAGTACAGACAGGAGAGAGGCAGGCGCACCAAGGAGAGACCAAGATGAGTTGTACTTACTTCCAGCCGAAACCAAAGTTAGCAGTGGCCTCCCTCTTAAAGAATAAATCTTCTCTAGGAATAAATGCCCATAGGATCCCATCCTTCCATCTTTATTTTACTGAACATGGATGGGACATAAGGAACCGTCATAAGGAACTGTGCATGAACCAAAGTCCCATAGTGAACCGGAACCAGTTGAACCAATGTCTGGTCTTTATGACTTTGTCTTCAGGACTGGTGCGGGGAGAGGAGAGACTTTGGACTCTTGCCATTGTAAGAGCTTCCCTCAGAGATAGCTCCAGGTGCAACAGCTACCTTGGTCTTCAAGGAGGAGCAAATGTGTTCATTGGAGGGTGTGGTGGACTCATGAAACAGGTGGAAGAAGAGCCCTCCCTCCATTTAGAACTTCTGTAGCATGTGCTCGCTACACGTCTGCCTCATACTTTGTCTCGTGGCTGAGGACAGCAGCATTCATGATCCCGATTCAGGAGCACAAAAGATAACACCCCACTGTGTGTTCACTGAGGAAAGGTGACTGGATTCTGGTTTTGCTTGGTCCGCTGCCATGCCTCTTCTTAGACACCTGGGATATTGTGACATTTCAAAAGCAAGAACCCCACTAACTGTTTTATATCCCAGATTTCTTCTTGGGTGGAATTGCCATTAATTTCTATGGCTACCAACCCCCAAGGAGCTAGCTGTATTTCCTGGCAGCACTCTTTTTTTTTTTCCATTTCAAGTTGTCATCTGATGTGGAGACCTTCCTATAGTACAAACCACGGATGGTTTGTAAATGGTTTTCCCTGGGTGGCAACCTAATGCTTGATCTGGGTTGCTAAGCCTTGCATCACTAATGGGAACGTCTCAACTTAGGAATGTTACAGACAGGCGTCTAGATAGTGCAGAGCAGTGAAGACACCTTTGAGTGTCGAATGGTTAGGACTGCGCTGACTGCAGCTAAGAGAGAACCTAGCTCTAAAGTTTAAACTAGTAGAGGTTTGTGTGACCTTACACGAAGCTTGAGGCAGGTGTGGACCACTGTTGATTCTGTGGCTCAGTGACTTAGGATAAGTTTGTGAGTGACTTCAGTCAGCACAGTTTTCAGGGTAGGAAGAGCATGGAAGGATGCGGGCGGCAGTGCCTCCACCCTCGGAAGAAAAGCGGAAGCAACCCTGGAGATCCCTTTATTAACCCTGTGCTGCAGCTAGACCAGGGGCCTCCCCTCCTCCTCTCTGGGTTGCAAGAGAGTCTGGGAAAGCAGGAACAGGGTTTCCTGACTCACCCATTGTGATCCAAGTTCCATGATCTCCAAAGAAAATGAAGACTTTGCCGAAGGTAAGAAGGAGGGCGAGTAGAACCTGTGCAAGCACCTGGCAGAGTCTCGATGGCAAGTCTTTTCCTATTGTTACTGTGTTCTAAAACTCAAGACCTTGCTAGAATCAGGCTTCCTAATTTTATAACCGGCCGTGTCTTTTTTAATGAGGCACCCAGAGCCTCAGAGACAGGGAGTCTTTTGTAAGTGTGACACTTAACTATTGCTGTGTGCGTAGTTGGGGCCTGCCGCGCTGGCTTTGCTGACCTGTATGCTCATTTTTCCAGATGAACCTCTTCAGCCTTCCACATCCCATAATGAGAGCGTGCCTAGTTACTGCAAAAATGATGAAGGGGATATATTCCTGGCAGCCGAGTCCTGGAAGCCTGACGTTTGCACCAGCTGTGTGTGCATGGATAGCGTTATTAGCTGCTACTCTGAGTCCTGCCCTTCCGTGTCCTGTGAAAGACCTGTTCTGAGGAAAGGCCAGTGTTGCCCCTACTGCCTAGGTAAGATCAAGGGGGAAAACCAAACAGCCTTCATCTCTCCAAGTGACCACTGAATTGACACTGACAGCCATTCGCGTAGATCACTTCATGTTTTTTAAATTGGTTTTTCTGGTTGGTATACCATACCGACGCAGTGTGTGGACATTAATCAGGGAGTTGAGGGAGATGTGCTCCCAAGATGGAGGGCGTGGAGAATAAATGGCTGCTGTCTCAGAACGCAGTGGTGTTACAGCACCAGTTCTGCGTTTTTAATATCATAGCTCTCGCTACCTGACTGATTTTGATAGCCATCCCAATACTCCCCATATTAGAGAATGTTCATTACATAAAACTTGCCTCTCCCTTGAGACCAACTCAGTATGAAATATTCATTAATTCTTTATTTGTTTGGCTTTTCCTGTCTGACGGGGCAGTGGGGTGATCCTATTTAAGCCACGTGGCTGTCCACGTTGGTGGCCTGAGCACAGAGTGAGGCCTGAATAAATGATAGTTCTCGTTCCTCTTTGTGGCCCATGGTGCCATATCCTATAAGCCGAGGACATACGAATATTAACCCCTAATGTCCATACCAAACCGGTCCTGTGGCTATGAGCCAGATGCGGCTCTGGGGACCAGAAGGAAGGCTGAGACAGATGGCATCTCTAATCAAGGGCAGCCCTGGCTCCCAAGGCCCTCGCTGTCTTTATTGGTTTTGCATTCTAAAGTCAAATGAGAGACAAGACACATCTCAGTCCCACAGTGAACCCTTAATCAGAGTGGCAAATGAAAACACATGCCTTTGTTAATTAATTATAGCTAATTGTGCACTTACTGCCAGTGGGGTCTGTGTGCTTCCTAGGCATAAGTCATTGCAGGTGTTTTGAGGAATACCTGGGGAAGAAGAAAGAGTTTCAGGCCTCAGAACGTTGTTCTTGAGAATTTTACAGAGCTGGATATGCTCAGTGGTTATACTGAGTGTATTCTCTCTCTCTCTCTCTCTCTCTCTCTCTCTCTCTCTCTCTCTCTCTCTCTCTCTCTCT